ATCTATTGACTTCTCTCTATTTTCTTCTCTTTTCTCTCTTTTCATAACACTAGTTAAGCATTATAGTAACGTCAAATCGCATTGAAAGATGTGCTCGTGCATGTAGTAATTAGTTTATGTACATACAATAAATTTAATAAAAAAATATTTAGCAATCATAGGAGCTAAGTGTTTTAGCTGCATGTTACGAATTTTGTAGCTATAGTTAAATGAATTAAACTATTCAAACAGGGCAATTTGACAAGAATTGGTGACAGAGCTGACGTGTCAAACTATAATTCGCCTATTTTTTTTTTAAAAAAAATTTCAATGAATAAATGACAAGTGTTGTCTATCACCAATTCCTGTCAAATTGCCCCGTTTGAGTAGCATGATTCATAGTTAAATACCCTCCATCCCTACTTTCCTTCTCCAAAACGAATAGAAAAATTAATCGCCCGTTTGGTAGAGATTTTTCAATAATAGATTTTGTGAAAAGATTTTTTTTTTTTTTTTAATAACGTGTTGTTAAAATGTAGAAGTAAATTATGGATTCACATATAAAATTATTTTATTAAAAGAAAGTGAAGTTGAAATAGTTTGGAAAAAAAAATGAGCTTTAAATTAGGGGTCAAATCGGAGCTTATAGATAAAGTTGTCCCGAGTGACTTTTTTAGAAAGTTCTTCTACAAGATTTACAATTAAAAGGTTGATAAAATTGTTGATTCCATGAAATATGCGGTTGAAAATAAATATGAAAAAAAAATGAATTTTAGAAATTGGAAACCAAATAATAACTAGGATTGAGGTTGAAACTAATATGGTGCTCGCGAAGGGGCCCTTCTACTCGTCTAACCAAAAACTCATTCCAAACATTTGATCTTTCCATTCATTTATTTTTAAAAAAAAAAAAAAAAAAAAAAGGAAAAGAAAAGAAAAGAAAGAAACACGATTACTTCACTTTTGATGGTTGACCCACTGGCAAAGAGTGAAGTAGAAAGAATGATAATTATGATACTCCTAAACCCTAAGCCTAATTAAATAGTATATCCGTCCAATTATAAAGTCCTTTAAAATCTTGCTTGTGGATGAAAACTTAATTGGCCTATTAATATAATTCAAGGTATATGTACACAGAATATTTTGGATCGATTAAGCACACAGAATAGCTTAATAATTTACAAATTTCCCTCATTTTCTTGAGGTAATTGATAAATTAAAAGGAAATCATAATACCACTCAACTTGCCACTTGCAAAAGAGCCATTTAAAGAATGAAATGGGTCGTTAGATTCTGATATTCTTCTGCAGTCCTTAAGAGCATGAATAAGGAGGTGATACTTGATAGAGTGGTCCTCTGATCCTTTAAATACGAATATTATATATGATTTCTGAAAGAAAAAGCCATGATTTTACAGTAAATAGTTGTATACAAAGGTGACAACAGAAGACGATAATGGAGAAGAATGCCGGTGAAACCTATTAAACTTAGCCTCTATCTATATACAAAAATGTAAATCTACCTTACAAAAGGACACTCGTTAATTCTAGCCGATAGCAAATGGCCTTGACATCAACTTTCTATGAAAATGATGCATCTGTATTAAGTCCAGGCATTAATAGAAAAGGATAGATACACAATTTTAGAAAATACAGCAGTTTGTAATTTCCTTTTTAAAGAGAAATATTGGAGTCAAAAATAAAATTGAAAAATTGAAAATCATAGTTATTAAAAAGTCTTAATTAATTAGCAACCTCACTATTAACTCCATGTTACTCCTTTTTCTTTATTTCGCATTATACTTTTACTAGCACAACACCAAACTTAAAAAATAGTAGAAAATTTCCTTATATTGATCAATAAGCATAGAAAGAAATAAATAAAAATCGTTACTGTTGCGTAATATTATACTCCAGCCTATTATTTAAGATTACTCATCTTAACAAAGTTAACATTTTAAATAGAACCCTTAAGTCTCCATATGGTATCAGAGCTTACAATTTTCAAACGATTGATTCGATCCTTCTAGAAGTTCAAGCGAGACATTGAGTTCCAAGATTGGTGTTCTCAAATTTCATAACAAATTTGCCTATATTAATTAAACAATTACAGGCAAAACAAGAGGCAAAACTGCAAGATTGCTTTATGATTTATTAGGCCTTGTAGCAATTTTGTTCTCAACCTACTTTGTGACACGGCTATGCCTAACCTTTCAATAGCATTATGGTCTTAATTCCAATCTATGCCTAGCAAATTTGTTTCTTGACATCAAAGTTCAGTTTCTCTTTTATTACAAGAACTAGGGACGCACTAAATTCTGCAGCAACCCATCATTCTCTTTGAATCCCAGCCGTGTAGGTAGCTATTTTACTTAGACATCAATACCAACATTAGTGGGAAAATTTTTCCTACTCCGTCATTTCTTCTTATTCTTCTTCATTTTTTGTTCCCCTTTTTAATTGCAGCTAAGCTATGACTAGTAGCAAGTGAAGTATCTTGTGAGAAGTGGTTGGGATCAGAATTCTAATAGATGGTCAATACCTAATTTTCACGTGCTAGCCAAAATCACTCAACACATATCCAACTACATCTCTATCCATACAGTTACTCTCAAACTATTCTCACATATACATAAAGTGATTAAAGTATTTCATCATAGGATCCGGGATTATTTACAACCTAGTTTTATCACCTCAAAAATCCATCATGTTATAAAATATTTTCGAACCTCAGACCATTAAAAATAGCTACGTGCTCACGAATAGAGTTTCATATGGATAAGAAATATATAAAAATAACTATAAAATAGCACCATTTGGTCACACGTAATATATCGAATTACCTAAAGGTCGTGTGATTAGCCTTGAATTTCATGGAAAATTCCAACTTTTTTGGTGTTTGATAGGATATTTTTCCATGGACTTTGATTTCCTTGTTTGTCTTGGAAGTTGTGATTTTCTTGGTTTTCCAACCCATTGTTCAACTTTATTTTTTTTGACAATGAAAACAAATTCTAAGAATTATTGTAAAAAAATATTTCCCTTTAATTAACAATTTTCATGTAAAATAAAGTCAAATGAACACTAAAAGATAAATGCTTTTCTCGATTTTTTTTTGTTGTCAGTGGAAACAAATTTTATCCCCAATGTCAGTAAATTTTATCCCTTTAATTGACAATTTTCATGTAAAACAAAGTCAAACGAACACCAAAAAATAATTTTATTTTAACATTTTTCACGTGAAAAATTATACCAATCAAACACAATAATTTACAATTTCCAGGATAACAATTCTAGACAATTCAATTCTCTGAAATTCGTTTTCAATTCAATTCATTTTCATCTTTGCAATCAGACTACTCTAATTTCTAACATAAAATCATCATTACTAATAAGGCTACCCAATTAGTTAGTAACATAAAAACAAATATGTGTAAATAATTTTGGATTTTTTTCCTACCAAATTTTCAATTTTTTTTTCTCGCAATTTTCTTGGTTTTTGTAAATTTTCTAAATGTTTAAAAACAATAAACAACAAAAACAAATAAAAAGTTTACTCTCTAGCCTTTAAGATGCCTCTCCATCGACATAAGGTCTATTGCACAAAGGAGAGCATGAAAGAATGTGGGAGTCTAGAAGTCCGATAGATGCAATTTCCATAATTCTCCCAAAAGTAAATCATGCTTGCTAACGATCAGTGTGAGATAATCCCATAATCAAGTCAACCTCATCAATTTCCAGTTTTTAGAAAAAGAATCCCACGAACTGGTCACACTTGATTAAAAAATATTAACACTAAATCCTATATGATGCCACGGTACCAACATATCAACAAACAATGTTAATTGTTACTCCAAATTAGCAAAAATCATTATTAAAAAACAAGAATAAATTTACCATACGATTTAAGCTCAAAAGTGACCAAAACTAAAGGGACGTTATTTTCCCTAATCTGAATCTATTAAATCTCCAATCCCTTACTCCGAAATTTTTCTTATTGACGTAATAAGTAATTTATTCGGTGATATATTGGCATTTAACTCCCATTTGATTCCCATTCTTTGACCACAAAAATAAAAAATACGGCCATTATCCATCACATCAAACAACCATATTTGACTTTCTATCTCTTGTGTGGGTCCCGTAACGACTATATTTTTCATTCTCATTTTTTAAAAAATGGGAATCAAACGGGCTCTTAATGTCGTATAGGATTTATAATTAATATTTTTAATCGATTGATCTAATGCATGAAATTAGAAGTTTGAATGACTTATTTTTTTAAAAAAAATAATAATTTTAGTAATCATTTAGCCTTATTTGGTGGGAATTAAAATCAAATTTTTAATAGATATTGATAGAAGTTGATGAAATATGTGATTGAAAAATTATGAATCTCATGAAATATGTTGTTAAAATTAATTATAAATTTTCACTTGAATTAAATTCTTGATCTCAAGTTTTTACCAAACGGACTTAAAATTTCAACGATCATTGACGTAATTAACCCGTCAAGTGATAATGAAATAGTGACCACTTTTTAGTTCAGCGAAGCGTTTCAACTTCTTGATACTATTACATTAAGAAATGCCAAGAATCACAATGATTTCTTTTTCAACATATACGCTAAGAAACAAGGCAAAATTTAGCATGCAATGCTCCTCAAGTTCAACATCATTCCCATCAAATTTGTTTCAAGATTTTCATCTATTTGGAATTTGTTGCAGGAGAACAGCGAAAAATCCTTGGTAACACACAAAAAGCAATTTCATTTTTAATGCACCTTGAATGTTTGACAATATTACTCGAAGGAAAATATCTGGCTATTTGCTGCATTCATCCAGCTTGTTTCTTCATACAATTGCTTTTTACTTGTTTGTTCTAAAATTGCTATAGGAATATATGGTGTCTTATGTTAAATTTTTTTATCTGATTCGTGGCGTTTCGTGGGCTTTCATTAGTCCAAAAGTTCAAACAATTATAATCAAACTGTAGAAATATCTCACATCAAGAATAAAAACCAAGAACAAATTACAAATATGTTGAAAACTAATTATAAAAGATTAAACAACAGTACTGAATGCTTTACATGCAACTTAACATCTTCCAATTGACATAACTAAATATTGGTTTTCCTGGTACTGGTACGCACTTGATGAGCCAACCAATAGGCCAAGATGCAGCTGAAATTCCTATACAGAATCCCCATTGACTCCAATTCAACCTCTCTGTATCCGCAAACTTTTTCAGAAATTCCACCATTACTACTTGAAGAATTATAGTTATACCAATGATCCCAAGAAACAGCTTGTTCCTGTGTATCCCTTCAAATAAGTTCTTCTTCTCAAGCTTCCTCGCATTGAACTCGTTAAACACTTGACAAAGCACGAATGTGTTAAAAATCAATGTGTCGTTTACCTTTTCGCTCACACCAAAGATTGATTCTCCCTTGAATTGTAATGTCAAAAGAACAACTATCTGATACAGTGCTTGAGCTAACAAGTTTCTCCACATGACATTGGTGATAAGAGGTTCAGTCCGGCCCACAGGCGGCTTTCCCATAAGCTCCATGGTTGGTTTCTCTGTAGCAAGAGCTAGAGCTCCCAATGTGTCCATTATTAGATTCACCCATAATAACTGGACTGCTGTTAATGGCACCTCACCAGCTGAAACTGCTGCTACAAAGTTGACTGTAAGTGCTGCTACATTCACCGTGAGTTGAAATTGGATGAATTTCTGTATGTTGCTGTAAACACATCTTCCCCATCTCAAAACGGTGGCAAGAGAAGCAAAATTGTCATCCAAAATGACGATATCTGAACTCTCTTTGGCCACTTCAGTGCCTTGAATTCCCATTGAAAGGCCTATATCAGCTTCCTTTAATGCGGGTGCATCATTTGTGCCATCACCAGTAACTGCCACAACGTGTCCTCTCTTTTTCAGACATTGCACCATTAGAAGTTTGTCAAAAGGAGATGATCTTGCCATCACACAGATTTTATCGACTTTTTCCATTCTTTCCTCTTCTGTATAGTTACGAAATTCAAATCCTTCGACCACTAATCCATCACGCATTTCTTCATTCAGCCTGAGTATTCCACACTCGGTGGCTATTGCTTTTGCAGTGAAAATATTATCACCAGTGATCATTTTGACATTTACACCAGCATATTGACAATCTTCCACGGCTTTCTTCACACCTGGTCGACATGGATCTTTCAGGCCGACAAGGCCCAATAGGGTCAATCCATTATCTTGAATTTTTGGTTGTCCACTCGGAATGACATGCTCGACCTCTAAAACTTGCTTATATGCAAATGCAATGCATCGAAGACTACTTGCAGCCATACCTTGTATTATTTGATCAAATTTCATCCTTTCGAAATCATTGAGATGATTCACATTTCCTTCCAAATCATAGTAATGAGAGCACATTGCTAGGATCATTTCGGCAGCTCCTTTCCAGTGTGCGTGAATCGTGTCATCGTCATTCTTCTTCATTAAAATGCCACTTCTCTTTTTCTCTGAATTGAATGCTTCCACGTGCACAATGCTACAATTTCGCTGGACCTTCTCCAAATCCATATTCAATTCAAGCACAGCCCACGAAAGAATGGCCTTTTCAGTGGGACTACCATAGAATTCAATCCCTAAAGCAGTCGACACGTAAACACTACCTGTCGTGTTGAGACTGACCCCTTGATGCAGCAATTCGAGAACATCGGTCGGAATTGATATATAGTTTTTCCCTTCGACACATTCTTTCCCCAACCAGAACTTAGTTGTCTTCATCTGATTTAAAGTAAGAGTACCTGTTTTGTCGGTACATATGGTAGTGGCAGATCCCATAGTCTCACATGCAGAGAGCCTTCTCACCATAGCTTGGTCAAACATCATCCTTTTCATTGAATAAGCAAGAGTCAGAGTAACTGCCAACGGCAATCCTTCTGGAATTGCAACAACTACAATAGTTACTGCGGCAGCAATAATTCCCAGCACACCATTGATCACATCATCGACCGTAGTCTTACCAAATCCATTGAACTCTTTATTCCCATTTTCGTCTGTTGTATTGCCTGTAAAGAATCGAACCAATAGCACGACTAGTACAAGGAAAGCTACTGCTAAACCAACCTTACCTATTGATGAAGTCAGCTTGTTTAATCGAGATTGAAGAGGCGTTTCCTCATTTGAGTCTCTGCTAATTGTACTCATCATTTCTCCCCAACTTGTGTTCATTCCTACAGATGCAATAAGCATTCTAGCATATCCATCAATTACCTTTGTACCAGAGAACAAGAAGGGATTTCGATCTTGATTGATTTCAACATGATCGCTTTCACCTGTCATGCTAGATTCATCCACTTGCAAAGAGTGCCCATCTAGAAATAATCCGTCTGCAGGTACTTGGTCGCCGATCTTCAAACAAACTATGTCTCCAACAACAATGTCAAATATCGATAATTGTTGCCTCCTTCCATTTCTCACAACTTCAATTAGGATATTATTGCTCACCTTCGAAAGCTTGTCGAACTGCCTGCTTTGCCTGAAGTTGCTGATAGCTGAGACAGAAATAACAAGAAATACAGCAACAAATATACTTCCACCATCATACCAACCTTCTTTTGGACCATTCTCTTTGATCCCGAATCCAAGAGAAAGGGCAGCGCAAACCAATAGAATTAGGATGGTCGGATCCTTGAAAGCTTCAAATATAAAATGGAAAAAACCCATTGTAGGTGGCTTACTGTAAGTATTACTCCCAAACTCCTTCTGTCTGAGAAAAATATCTTCTGTTGCTCCATCAATTCCACGATTCGCGTCAGTTTTGAGAGAAACGGTGATACCTTTAGCACCTCCAAGTTTAAAGAGCTCGACAAGATTTTTCTCTTTGACAACCTTAGAGAGGATTGTCCGATTAACATTGGCGAAATAGCTGGTGTCTTCGCGTGGTTGATCAATACTGATGAGAAAACTTGCAGATGCAGGCAAGATAGAATTAGAAATCTCGTTGTGTTTTGCAAGAATTTCATTGAAGAGAGAAAGCAAGGCCCTTGAACAATTGATTTTTACGAATGCCAAATGCCATCTCTTTCTATTCAGCAAGCTGATAAAAAGGTGGTTTGGAAGATTGTGAACACTATCCGAGCAATGCATGATATCTTGAAAATTTTCAGTCATGATAATGGTAAAACTCCAGAACGCAGTAAAATGGACAACAAAAAAAATTGCAAATCGAAAGACAGAAAAATTTCTAACAATCTGAAATGGGATCCATCAATTCCTCGACCGCTACAAGTGTATAAACTTAACTTACGGTAAATTTATAAATTCTCATGGATTGTGTGAAATTTGATAGAATTTAATAGATTTCATAAGATTTGAATGGATTTCTATTTTGTAGATTTTAAACGATTTTTATGGATTTTATAGATTTTGGGTAAAATTTATAAATATGCTTAACATAAGCCACAAATTTTTACTTCTTCTTTAACGACTCATTCTTACACATATGCACGTTAATAAATCACAGAAAATGATCGAATCATTGTTCAATTGTTTGTTAAACATTGAATATTATAACAGAGCTTCAATAAAAAATACATCCAATATTCAACAAAATGCGAGAGTGAAAGAGGACAAAAATATGTAGTATTAAATAATCAAAGTCGTAATCAATATGAATTAGTTTAAAAGGCCACAACCTTGTGAGATACAAACACACAGATGTACACATACATGACCACAAGGCAATTAATTCCATACCCCCAGAATTCTCATTGACCATGCAAACAAAAAAAAAAAAAAAAAAAATTGTGGGATACCATCCTGACATGTCTTGGCTAGGATTTTCAGGTATATATAGAAAACACACAGCTCTTCCCAAGAAAAAGGAATAGGGTACAGAACTTGAAAGACGAAGTTGTTCCAGTATGCATACTAGAAATCGTAAATTACCACGATAATTTTCAGCACATCTATAAAATAGTAAACAATATATAGCTTCAATAAGAAAAAATAAGTTTAATAAAAAATCACACCCAATATTCAACAAAAAAATAGTAGTCTTTCATAAATTATCATCAATTGAAAAGTTCTCATACACGATCTTTTCACAGTAGAGAAATGTGAGATAGAAAGAAGAAGAAAATCTTGTTCAAGATGGGGGGGAGAGTGAGAGTGAGAGTGAGAGAGAGAGAGAGAGAGAGGGCAGCAAATATGGAGAGATGTGAGAAATGTTGTGAAACTTTTAGGTTTGAGTTAAAATTGTTACTGATTCTTTGTACTTATATTTTTACCTTGAAATCCTTCAAAATCTATCTACTTAACGAAATCTTTTAAAATCAACTAGTTATTGAGGACATTTAAATTTCAAAACTATCTATTAAAATCTATGTTGAGGACACCTAAATTTATAAATATTTTTAAAAATCTATATTGGGGACACCTATATTTTAATGAATTATATTTAAATTTGAATTGAGGATACTTCAATTTATATGAAGTTTTAAAATCCACTAAACTCTAGATTGAGGACACCCCCCTAAAATATTGCCGGCTTGATTTTCACATTTTAAAGGGTAATTCTTTTTTTTTTTTTTTTTTTTTTTGGGTTTAGGGTTTTTTTGAAAAAAATATTTGTTTGACCTGCCGATGTGGGTAGGTGGGTAACATAATTTTTGCCCACCGTGAACAGGGAATAAATTTTAGCATAATGAAATGACATGCTGCAAAATTCCAATGCCGTTACTTTGAATTTTCTCCGTTTTGGGTTTTCATTTGCGGCCGTTGTATTTCAAATTTTAAAAGGTAGTTTTTTTTTTTTTTTTTTTTCTGTCTGAGTCGAGTGTGTTTTGCTGCATAATTTTTACACAACATTAAATAGACATGACAATGTTTAAAATATTTTCAAAATCACTCAATTAATCTTATTAATAATGTGTATGTATCCGTGGACATTTCAAGATTTGCATCATCAACATCAACACCAATTATTATATTTGTTCGAAATCTATAAATTATAAGGGTGGTTATATAACTTATATTACAACCACGATTTTTATTTGACCCTCCACATTTTTAGATATTAATTATATTTACAGACATGAGTCCAAGTAAAATGACATGAATAATCATACTTATAAATATTACTTTTTTGACATAAAACATATTTGATTTGTTCCTACTTATTTGTATTTATCTTTTATCTTTCTTTTTTTCCCCATCTTATTGCTTAAACGGGTGAGTTTTTACTTTGAAACTTTATATAGTAAATCGATTCTTCCCTCTCCCATAATATAAAAGAATTATGATTTTGTTACTTGTACATAAAATAGTACTTAAGCGATTATCGAAAATGATGTGAAGGAAAAAAAAAGTTGAATCTGTTTTAAACGGGCAAATAGTATTATGTAAATCATTATATAAACATTAATGTATATGTAGCAAGGTTCAAAGAATTAATTAGATAAGTTACGCATTTTATGTTCCCTGTTTTTCTTTTTTCTTTTTTTCTTTTTTTAATACTTAATTTGTCTTTTTGCCTGGTTTCGTTGGCTTACGTTGTGAGATTTATTAATTTATTTATTTCAATTATACAAAAAACAATAGTCAGACAATAAAGTTCCTTTAAAACGAAGTCAACAAAATTTAGCATTTAATATAGTTTTGTTTTTGGTTAATTATTTCTCAACTTACTTTTGACTGATGTAATATAATCGGTTTCTAAATTAGCCCTTGTTTGATTTCATTATTCTCAAAATACATTTTTTCTCTATTCTTTTCAACTACATATTTTTTAATAAAATAATATTACACGCAAATTCAAAATTTTCCTTATTTTTTAACAAGGCATTTTTTATAAATATATTATTTCAAAATGCATTCTTAGTCAAAAATGGAATTCTCACGGTCGTTTAATTTTTTTGACACGTTAGCAAGTCAAAAAGATAAATCGTTAGAATTTTGTGGCATGGAATGTATTTCAGCTTTCATCAACATTCAATATTTCAAACTTTGCAGCAAAAGATGCAGATGTCCATTGAATATTGCGAAGACTGCATTTCTGAGAAATCTCTCAAACCTAGAATTTGATGCCAAAACAAGAGAAGAAGAAGAATGGGAGAAAATATACAGAGTTGATTAGAATTGACTAATGACCCAAAAAAGGAAAATAAATAAAGACTCTGACTGTCAAGAAAAATGGATAAAATTGTATCAAGTATGCGTTGGGAGATTGCATGGGAATTAATGAGATGATTCCTGCACTTGTACGTGGATATGTATTGCCTTACCTTATACTTCACATAAAAAAAAAAAAAAAAAAAAAAGGTAGTATTCGTCATTCGTCAAGGTACAAGTTCTTTTCTACGTGGTAATGTACCGAAATCCCGAAGAGACAAAGACATTTGCAACTTGGAGAATATAGGAATTTTATCTTGCTGAGAATCTTAGAAAAAAACCAAAAAAAGAAAGAAAAACACAATGCCCCATACCTGGGACAAGAATTAAGATTCCAAAATTTCTAAGGGTCTGCTCTCTTCGTGTTTCCGTTTTTTGTTTTGAATTCATTTTTAATTTTTTGTTTTGAGAGACTATTTTCGAATTATAGAAAACGTGTTTGGTTATACGATTTCTCAAAACATAAAACTAGAAAATGCGTTTGGTTTAAAATTTTTAGAAATTGTTTTATGACATTTATTCAATTAATTTGATTATTTTGTAAAACATAATAATTTTATGCTACTATATTACTAAATAATATTTATTCTAAACTTGTTGAATTTATTATTTTTTCTTGCTACAAAAATAAATTAATAAATAATAAATTTATAGACCAAAAATAGGAATCGTTGTAAAGAAAATAGCTAGTTCGTCTTTCATCCTCCTGGATGTATTTTGCTATCACAGTAAAAAAGGAAATAATAGTTCTTCCAAATTTTGATAAAAAAAAAAACAATAATGTAAATTGAAAAATGTTTTGCGGGTTTTAAAATTATTGTACTACACTAAATTGTATCAGATTACAACATTTTTTATTTTAAAAGTGCTTCTGAGCATTCCTTGGATAACAAAAAATAAAAAAAAATAAAAAAGAAAAATTGGTGTGTTTTGATTGTTTTCCGCGTTTTGAGTTTTTTAATTGAAAACACTCAAAACGATTTTTCGGAAACGACAGACCAAATACATTTTGGACATTTTCGAAAACTGAAAAAAAAAGGCTGGAAAACGGCAAACCAATCGCCCCTAAATTTGTGAATAAATAATTATTATATCATTCTGAAAGATTTCAAAATCTCTAAATTTGCGAGTATATACTATCATATCATTCTGAAAGAAAATCACATTTCACTGTAAATGATTTTTAATCAAAATTAAGATTTCAAAATCTCTAAATTTTTGAATAAATTTTATTATATAACCATTCTGAAAGTAATAAGTCACATTTATAGTACATAATTGTATCAAATGGTGACAACAGAAAGCAATGAAACAGAAGAATGCACTTGCAACCCAATAATTAGCTTCTATTAAGTTTTTTTTTTTTTTTTTTTTTTTTTTTTTTTTTTTTTTTTTTTTTTTTTTTTTTAGTTTTTTTTTTTTTTTTTTTTTTTTTTTTTTTTTTTATCTTCAATGAAAATAATAAAAAAAAAAAAAGAGGAGAGAGAGAAGAAAAATCCTTCTTAAGCAAGGACACTACTTCCGTGTTTTTCTACAATCAAATTTCTGTTCTTACAAAGGGCTCTCTCTTTACGTCAACATTCAAAAATAAAATGTTTAGCCCTCTTTTATTTAGACAAAAATCAATTTTTTAATAAATTTTGATAAAAAGTTGATCATGGAATGTGTGGTTGAATAGTTGCAGGACATATTAAATATACGGTTAAAAGTATTAATGACTTTAATTTAGATTTTAATCAGCCATTTTAGTTGAATTAGAAAGGGCTTAACATGATATGGTAGTAGAAAATTAGTTCAGCACTCCCAAGAAAATGAATATGAAACACACGGAAACATCAATGAAAATTACAAAGTTCGGCTCTAACAATTCCTCGCAAAAATAAAAATAAATTTAGTGATGTATTATGGAAAAAAACTGTCTCAAAGGTTCTTCATAAAATTTATCACTATCAATACAAATAAATTTAGAGAGAAGGGTTTGAAAATGCCTCCCAAAATTTTCCTTAAAAAAAGAGTTAAAATATAAAGTTAGTGACGTATTTAATTTTTATCTAAAAATTAGGATATCAGTTACCGTGAATTTGCAACCATAAAAAATGAATATATTTGGATCATATTGTCTGCATAAAAGATTATTGAGATGATTCGATGAAGTTCCTTTAAAGCAAAGTCGATAAAATTTAGCGTTAGCATAATTTTATTATTATCAACTTAGTAAAAAATATATTATCCTATGGATTCTAAACTAAACTATGACACATTAATAAGTCACAAGATAACATCATTTGAATTTAGGAAGGAATGTGATTCTTGAACATTAAATATTCCAAACTTCTGCACCAAAATTTATACTTTTTCGTCGAATATTACAAAGTACATTAGGGCGAAATTTCTATATTAAAATTTGATGCAGAAATAGATAGGAGTGGCAGAAAATATATTAAGTTGCCTGAGAAATTTCCATAGAACAAGATTCTAAAGGACCGATGACCAAAAAAAGAGAAATAAATAAAGGCTCCTGTTAAAGTTTCAAGAAAATGGATAAGCATAAGCTCGTTGAATGAAAAGTTTGACATTGATACTCCCAAAATAATAATAATAAATTAATTAATCAATTGACACTAGAAAAAAAATAATGAAAAGTGTGACGATTGTCATGGAAATTTCTGTTGCGCCCTAAATTCCGTGGATGAGTACTTTAGCAATATAATATATTATCATTGTTTACCCTACATTTAGAGGCTGTTTGGGAGTGATTTTGAAAATTGATTTTTTGACCGTTAGGAGAAAAGTGGGATCCACCTGTGAAAGAAGAAGTCAAATATGACGGCTGGAATAGTGAAATAACGGTCAAAAAATCAATTTTTTGGATGAAAAAATCGGGCCCAAACAGGCCCTTAGTCATTACTAACTACAATAACATTGGTCGTAGGTTGTTCATTTTGACAGTGACGCTTTACTACTGCACTTTCAGCAAAAATATTTGTTGCAATTACTAACTTTAATGCAAAATTACCAACCACTAAGTATTTTTCTAGGACGTTTCATCGTTAAATCCTAACAATTTTTCTACAAGATTTAGGGGTCGTTTGGGCCCGATTTTTTCACCCAAAAAATTGATTTTTTGACCGTTATTTCACTATTTCAGCCGTCATATTTGACTTCTTCTCTCACAGATGGACCCCACTTTTCTCCTAACGATCAAAAAATCAATTTTCAAAATCACTCCCAAACAGGCTCTTATTGTTGCCAATATTTTTTTACTATTTCAGTTCCTAATCTTTCGTTGCAAGTTTCCAATGTGAATAAATCCATTGGCAAGCTACACTAGTTTGAAAAGAAAAAAAAAAGCTACCATTTCATATATTTATAGAAATGTTACTAATTTCATTTTTCTTGTTAATTTAAAACAGAGAGATTTACAAAATATACTATGGGGACTTTACATACCATATTTTACAAATTTTAACCTTGTACATTTTGCATAATGATTACATCAAAATATCCTTTGCTGAAGAATTGACAAATATATATAACAATATAAATAGATAAATAGACAAAGATATTCTTAACTAAAATATTTAATCACGTCCTATATATTACATTATATAACATTTTGCAAACTGCATTTGTAATTATCAATTTTTCATAAAAAAAAATATATAAAAAATCTTTAAATGATGTTTTCTTTTGTTAGCATGTATGTTTATAAACGTGTTAAACAATAAATATATAAAATTAGGTGGTGAATAGGTGCATAGCACTTGTGGATATTTGAAAATATCTAGATAAAAAAATGACTTCAGTATTTATAGACAATTTACAAAAATAAGCCAAACACAGGCTTAGATTTAAAAAATAACAACTATCTTCTTTTTCTGAACTCTAACCTCAAATTAATAAAAAATTTAAAATATACTTCATTTTACTCTTTCAGCATTGTAAAATTACATAAAAATTCTAAAATATTATATTTTAATTAACAAAATTTGTTCAATAGATAAAACTAAAAACAATGAATTCAAACAATTTTTTTATATTGAATGCTATTTTGAAGCTCAAAATACCTTTCTTATTCAATTTAAGTTTGGATAATTTTGCAACTTAAAATTTGGTAAGAATGTATGCATAGTTTTGTTGGTATCTGTTGCAAACGAGTTTTACTTTTCTTGGAGAAAAAAGAGAATAATATATAAAAATAACTAATATTTTATGATTTTGTGTGATAATAAAAATGAAAAAAAAAAAATGGGTGTATAACCCATTTAGAGGACTCTAGTAAATATTAATTTCATCCACCATTCTTATATATCTATCCACTATAAATATATCAATATTATATCCAAGATTATCCTTATTAATTTCATTCATATGAATACTAGGAATCCATACCACTTTTAATTTGACAATTTATCAAACCCTTCATCTTCTCCAATCTTCATGCTCGCTGCTCTAGGTTTGAATGTTGCTACACTAAATGTTTTGGCACTAGTGGGTTATCAACTATTCCAAGTACTTGAAGAACAGGCTTGCTTCATTCAAAAATCAGAATTGAATGACTATAGAATGAAGCTTATTGTGATGGAAAAAATAGTTTGGTTTGGGCTTATTTTTCTGATATATTTGGAATGATAAATTATTTAACAGAGGAGTTGTAAAGATACAACATTTGAGCTGGTGTTTTGGCAATGCATAGAATAAGGAGGATGCCCTTATTTCCACATAATTCACCAATATCAAATCCCTAGGATGCCCTTTTTTCCACATAATTAACCAAAATCAAATCCCTCTTTTGTGTACATTTTGTAATCTTTTTAGATGCAATACATTACACAATGTTAGAATCAACTGCACATTTTCACGTGATTTGTATAAAACTCATTATTTCGAGTCTAGAATGAAGCAGGTCAAAAAAAAAAAATAAATAAATAAAAAATTATTGATAAGCGACCACAAAAAAAAAAAAAAAAAAAATCATAATCCCAATATATAACTTACGATTTTTGAATTGTTAAATTTAACAAGCTCATATTAATTTTCAATTTTGCAAATTATTGTTCATTCATTCAGTTTAATTTTGTAAATCTTTTTGAATAAAGATAGCAATGTCCTCCATAAAATATTGTGAAAGATTATCTATTTAATAAAAGCAATTGTAATTTTTTTATGAAGATTTTGACATTTGGTAGTTGAGCATTAATGAGCACACTTAATGCTATGAAAAATGGATTGCAATTACAGTTACATCCATTAAAGCATGCTCCCGTTAGTTGCTAACCATAAATATCTATAGTTCAATTGTCGAAATAGTTGTGAAGATCGACAGTTAAAATGTCGAGCTCGACAAATAGCAAGTGTCAGGAAAGACATTTAAAATTTTAAACTATCAGTCTCACTGGTTTGCTAATGTTTGGTATAATTTATTCATATCTGCCACTTGCATGTTATTAAAGTTCGATATATTAATTGTACAAAATGCTTATCATTGGTATATCAAATTTTTAGGTATAAATAATAATATGAGTGTACATTGTCCACTAGGTAGATCACATATGCGATGTAAGTTATTCAAATCTGAGTCTAGTATAAGAATCAGGAAAATCCACTCGATGTGGATGAGTTGGCCATTACCAGGCAACATGTTCAAACCCCCATTTCAACACAAGGCATGTAAAGTGGAATGACGTTCAAGGGTTGAAGTTATATTTTATACATTACAATGATGACGTTCTTCATTTTATATTATATTATTATTTTGTTATTATTGTTGCAACTTTTATTTGTGTACAAATATTGTTCCACTTCTTCCTAAACGTAAGACCTCATTAACTGTCGATGGTTCAACTGTCCATCCTTATAGATAATCTCTATAATTCTCAACAGTTCGTTGTTAAGTAGTAAATTAGACAAAATATCCGAGTATAACGATGATTGGACACACAATTAAAGAACACATCAACAAATCTTTCGCAAAGAAGTTTTAAGCCAAATCAACTCAATTCACCAAAAAATATGACTTGCAAATGCTAATTTGGCAATCGAAACACCCTTCAAGTAGCAAAACAATGCACACAAAAACATTGAAATTTTTTTCAACAATGTTGTACATGTAATCCCCGTTTGGCCACACTATTTTGCCCATTTTTTCATTTTCAGAATTGATTGTCCCTAAGCCTGCATATCTTGTGAAGTGTTGAATAAATTCCGGAAGATGGGTAGTATATTGGAGGTAACAATAATCCATCATGTGTGCATGGTGCTGATTTTCTTTTGGTTACTTAATTCTTTCAAGTGTTGCCACCCAGTTGCCTACTTTCTTTCCCTCATCTATCTCTATCTGGTGAGTAGTCTTACGATCTTGCTTTTTTTGGATAAGTAATGTAATTTTCTGGACTTTTGTAAAGATTCGGGTTGTTTTTTTGTTGGATTTGCAGGTCCATGAATTGTATGAGACGAGATGGAGAAGGAAACTGCAGTTTGACGAGATAAGACAATCCAATCGAAGATGGGTACACAGTTTTTTGCTGGGTTTTCTCAGTTCATTGCTTGTCTTTTTTCTTCAAGTGTTCGTGTGACCTCTCTATTTTTTATCCCCTTTTTTTTTGTGTGTGTGGGGGTGGGAGGTTGGTTTGTTGAATAGATAAAAAGTGAATAAAGGAAAGAAGAAAGGGAACAGAAAAAGAGTCGTGGAATTGATTTTTTTCTGATTCCATAGTTTTGTCTATGCATACTCTTTATCAGTGGTGTGGCATTGCTGAACAATATATATATATTTAATTTCATTTTTTCCCCATGGGAATTTAATGCCATTTTAGTAGATCCATGTAATTTGTATTTCGTATTTATATGTTAGGTACTCTCGGATTCGGAAACTATGAGATGGTTGAACCGTGCTATTGAAAAGATCTGTCTTGTCGCATGGAAAAAATAGTTTCTCAGAAAATTATTCTCCCAATTCTTCCATGGTTCTTGCAAAATATAAACCTTGGACTGGGATATGATTTACTGTTTATTTTAATTTATTACTGAATTCTGCAAAATTTCAATGATGTATTAAACTTACATTTTCTGTTTTATGTTGTATTTTTGAAACTTAAGTGTTCTGATTCTCATTCTGATTAGTGGTCTGTTGGATGGTTAATGGTTACAAGTGTGGCTCTGGTAATTGTCTAATATTGGGACACCACTGTGGTTCTGAGTTCAATTAATGAGAATCATATTTTGCATGTGTGCAGAAGGATACTGCGGTTCAGCGTTTGTACTTGGGAAGATCCCTGCCTATATTCACTGAAATGAGGGTGCTTCCAAAATCCCATGGTGATGATCACTTGGTATGCTAGGGTCACTGGTAACTAGGATCTGAATGTACCTGCAGTGGTTTTTGAGCGATATATGCATAAATTTGCAACAACAATTTTAATATATAGCTAACTGCAGGTATTGGAATTGGGAACGAATTTTCGTACTGCAGATGATATGGGTGCAATTATTGCAGTGAAACTGAGGAAAAGATTGGGATTAGGAATGCGAGCAAAGTTGCATTTGTTAGGCATGCATGTTGAAGGAAATGTAAGTAAAAAGTTATATCATGTAGTAAATAATACTTCAGTAAGTGCATCAAGCTCTACTTAGTATATCCGTCCAATTATAAAGTCCTTTAAAATCTTGCTTGTGGATGAAGACTTAATTGGCCTATTAATATAATACAAGGTATATGTACACAGAATATTTGGATCGATTAAGCACACAAAATAGCTTAATAATTTACAAATTTCCCTCATTTTCTTGAGGTAATTGATAAATTAAAAGGAAATCATAATACCACTCAGCTTGCCACTTGCAAAAGAGCCCTTTAAAGAATCAAATGGCCCGTTAGATTCTGGTATTCTTCTGTAGTCCTTAAGAGCATGAATAAGGAGGTGATACTTGATAGAGTGGTCCTCTAATACTTTAAATACGAATATTATATATGATTTTTGAAAGAAAAGTCAGAATTTACAGTATATAGTTGTATACAAAAGTGACAACAGAAGGCGGTAATGGAGAAGAATGCAAGTGAAACCCATTAAACTTAGCCTCTATCTATATACAAAAATGTAAATCTACCTTACAAAAGGACACTCGTTCATTCTAGCCGATAGCAAATGGCCTTGACATCAACTTTCTATGAAAATGATTAATAATTTAAACTTTCAAATGAGACGGTTCAACAAGTCTAAGTGTGAAATGGACCAAAAAAAGTGAGCGGCCTTTTCCTTTTTGACACGAGGAAAGATAATTAGTGTAAAGCATTTTGGTGGCGAAAACTGTATGATGAAGGAACTGTTGCTAGATAATGTCTTAGTAGCTAGCCATGTTACAGGCTTATTGAGGCTAATTAGACAGACCATTGGATTAGCCATATTCCAGCCAGGCTTTTTTTTTTGTCTCATAAGATGCTCTTAAGTCATTAATAGAAAGGATAGATACACAATTCTAGAAATACGGCAGTTTTTAATTTCCTTTTTAATAGTAGCAAATTTCCTTATATTGATCATTAAGCATGACAGAAACAAATAAAAATCATTACTATTGCGTAATATTATACTCTAGCCTGTAATTTAAGGTTACTCATCTTAACAAAGTTAACCTTTTAAATAGAACCCTAAGTCTTCTTATGGTATCAGAGCTTACAATTTTCAAACGATTCATTTGATTCTTCTAAAAATTCAAGCGAGACATTGAGTTCCAAGATTGGTGTTCTCAAATTTCATAACAAATTTGCTTATATTCATTAACAAGTATAGGCAAAACAAGAGGAAAAACTGCAAGATTGCTTTATGATTTATTAGGCCTTGTAGCAATTTTGTTTTCAACCTACTATTGTGACACGGCTATGCCTAACATTTCAATATTACTTTTAAGATAACATAATTATATTTCCTTCTTGATATCAAACTTCACCAAGTTAGGGTGACCATAGAAATTCAGTCAAATCACATTATGGGTCTTAATTCCAATGTATGCCTAGCAAATTGGTTTCTTGATATCACAGTTCAGTTTCTCTTTTATTACAAGAACTAGGGAAGCACAAAAATCTGCAGCAACCCATCATTCTGTTTTAATCTCAGCCGTGTAGGTAGCTATTTTACTTAGACATCAATACCAATATTAGTGGACAAATTTTTCCTAATCCGGCATTTCTTCTTCTTCTTCTTTTTTTCCGTTTTAATCGCAGCTACGACTTGCAAGTGAAGTATCTTGTGAGGAGAAGTAGTTGGGATCAGAATTCTAAAGAATGGTCAATACGTAATTTTCACATGTTAGCCAAAATCACTCAACACATAATTCATGATCATAATCAACGCATATCCAACTACATCTCTATCCATACAATTACTCTCAAACTATTCTCGAATATACATTAAGTGATTGAAGTATTTCATCATAGGATCTAGGATTATTTACAACCTAGTTTTACCACCTCTAAAATCCATCATGTTATACAATAATATTCAAACATCAGACCATTATGCTCAAGAATAGAGTTTCGTATGGATAAGAAATATATAAAAATAAGTATAAAATAGCACCATTTGGTCACACGTAACATATTAAATTAGCTTAATTTCTAACATAAAATCATCATTACTAATAAGGCTACCCCCATTAATTAGTAACATAAAAACAAATATGTATAAATAATTTTGGATTTTTTTTTTTCAAAATCTTCAATTTTTTTCTTGCAATTTTTCTTGGTTTTTTTGAATTTTCTAAATGTTTAAAAACAATAAACAACAAAAACAAATAAAAAGTTTACTCGCTAGCCTTTATAATGCCTCTTCTTTGGCACTTGTCCCTTAATCCTCTTTTAATCTCGTTTATTTGATCTTCAAATTATTTCAATTATACCTAAAAGAAATAAGAAATATAATTATCGACATAAGGGTCCATTGCACAAAGGAGAGCATGAAAGAATGTGGGAGATTAGAAGCCCGATAGATGCGATTTCCATAATTCTTCCAAGAGTAAATCATGTTTGCTAACGATCGATGCGAGATAATCCCACGATCAAGTCAACCTCATTAATTTCCAATTTTTAGAAAAATACTCCTATGAACAAGTCACACTTGATTAAAAAATATTAACACTAAATCCTATATGATGCCACAGTACCAACATATCAACAAACAATGTTGTTTGTTACTCCAAATTAGCAAAAAAACATTATTAAAAAACAAGAATAAGTTTACCATACGATTTAAGCTCAAAAGTGACCAAAATTAAAGGGACGTTATTTTTCAGAATCTGAATGTATTAAATCTCCAATCCCTAACTCCCTAATTTTTCTGACCGACATAATAAGTAACGTCATGCGGTGATGTATTGGCATTTAATGTCGCCATATGGGACTTATAATTAATATTTTTAATCGATCGATCTAATGTATTTAAAGAAGTTTGTCACAAAATAATTTTAGTAATCATTCAGTCCTATTTGGTGGAAATTAAAATTAATTTTTTAATAGATGCTAATAGAAATTAATGAAATATGTGGTTGAAAAATTGTGGATCTTATGAAATATGTTGTTAAAATTAATTATAAATTTTGACTTAAATTAAATTCTTGATATTAAGTTTTTACCAAACGGGCTAAAAATTTCAACAATCATTGACGTAATTAACCCAAAAGTTGACAATGAAATAGTGAAAATTTTGACACTTCTTAGTTCAGCGAAGTGTTACAAATTTCAACTTCTTGATACTATTACATGAAGAAGTGCCAAGAATCACCCTATTTTCTTTTTCGACATGCGCGCTAAGAAACAAGGCAAAATTTAGCATGCAATGCTCCTCAAGTTCAACAACGTTCCCATCAAATTTGTTTCAAGATTTCGTTCACAAAGCAGATTTTCATCTATTAGGAATTTGTTGCACGAGAACGGCCGAAAATCCTTGGTAACACAGCATTCTCTTTTTACTTCCACAAAAAGCAATTTCATTTTTAATGCACCTTGGATGTTTGACAGTATTACTAAAGGAAAATATCTGGCTATTTGTTGCATTCATCTAGCTCGTTTCTTCATATGATTGCTTTTTACTTGGTCGTTCTAAAATTGCTGTGGGAATATATGGTATCGTATGTTAAATTTTTTTATCTGATTCATTGTGTTTCGTGGGCTTTCATTAGTCCAAAAGTTCAAACAATTTTAATAGTCAAACTGTAGAAATATCTCACATAAAGAATAAAAACCAAGAACAAATTACAAATATATTGAAAACTAATTATAAAAGATTAAACAACAGTACTGAATGCTTTACATGCAACTTAACATCTTCCAATTGACATAACTAAATATTGGTTTTCTTGATACTGGTACGCACTTGATGACCCAACCAATAGGCCAAGATGCAGCTGAAACTCCTACACAGAATCCCCATTGACTCCAATTCAACCTCTCTGTATCCGCAAATTTCTTCAGAAATTCCACCATTACTACTTGAAGAATTATAGTTATACCAATGATCCCAAGAAACAGCTTGTTCCTGTGTATCCCTTCAAATACGTTCTTCTTCTCAAGCTTCCTCGCATTGAACTCGTTAAAAACTTGACAAAGCACGAAAGTGTTAAAAATCAATGTGTTGTTTACCTTTTCGCTCACACCAAAGATTGATTCTCCCTTGAATTGTATAGTCAAAAGAACAACTATCTGATACAGAGCTTGAGCTAATAAGTTTCTCCACATGACATTGGTGATAAGAGGCTCAGTCCGGCCCACGGGCGGCTTTCCCATAAGCTCCATGGTTGGTTTCTCTGTAGCAAGAGCTAGAGCTCCCAACGTGTCCATTATTAGATTCACCCACGTTAATAATTTTAGGCTGCCTCTTATTAGTCTTGGCCTGTTGGGCCTCCTTATATTGGGCCAAATTTGTTTCATCGGGTTATTGTGTTTTAAAAGGGTGATAAAACGTGTTTTTTGAAAAACGCCTCTTTAAGGATTGAAGATCAGCCGTACACGTGGCTGCTCCTCTGCTCTCTGATTGTGTCGATTGGTATGGATAGATACACACTGGGTCTTGGCATTATTATTTATTCTAGAGAATTCTTTCAGTCTCTTCATCTTGCTCTCTCCCCTTTTCTGAGTGAAAATTAGGGCTTGGCTACTGTAATGTGAAATCGATCTTTGTGATTGATAATGTTTATGTTCTTTGTGTAGAGAGACGATTGTTTTGAACAATCTGTGAGAGTGAAAGCAGTTTGTGTTGTTGTTTTAGGAGGCAAGAAAAACTCGAAGAATTTTTCAATTTCTTCCTACATATGTACACTGTTTTTTGTTCGATATTAGTGGATCTGGAGCTTAATTTCTTGGGAGATGCTCAACGGGTGATTAGGTTGAAAAATCGAACATCCGAGCCCTTTTAAAAGGGCAAAACATATCTGGTGTTAATTTTTCTTGATTTTCTGCATTTTATTGATTCTTGAGTTTATCGATTCTTAAAGATTTGAAGTTCAAAACATAACAGTGGTATCAGAGCGAGTGTTTCTTGATTTTTTTTTTAATTTTTGTTTCTCTCGATCTCTGATCTATTTTTTCGAAACCCTAGGTTTCTAATTTTTTTTTTCCTTCGTTAAACTTTTTTTAACTCCTTTGCGTATAAATCTGGTGTTTAAAGAAACGTTACCTTTCTTTAGATTTAACAATAAATTGGATCTATTGGT